CCACGTGGGACTCATTATTGGGAACACCCTCCTGGAGGGTTATCTCGCTTGAGTTTTTCAATGGATGTGACTTTCGTTCATTTTTGCCCTTGGAGAGTAAGGTGGCCTCCATTTACTGGAACGACCACGAGTCGTGGAGTTGTGAGCTGCGTATTTCTAGCTTTAACGGGGATCGTCTTTTCAACTTTGACTAGAATACTACTCGGCTTTCTTGAGTGAATCGTCTTCAACTTCACTCCAGGTCAGTCAGTTGAATGACTCAGATTTCCCTTTAACACCTGTGTGAACCCGCACTTTGCTTGACCTTGTCGTTTTGAATGTTCAAAAGAAAAGGTAGAGGAAAGTTGTGTGAGTCATGCATATGAATGGAAAGGTCTGACTTGAATATGGGATTGCATTGTTTTCTTTTGACCTTGTTTTCTTTGCATGTTGCACAAGGAGGTAAAAGGAAGCTTGCAAAGACGGTTGATTATGCTTGTTTGAGATGAAGAAAAAGATTGACCTCTTTCTGTCTTTCACCCTCTTGCATGACAAAAATACTTTAATTTTTGGAATGAATAATTTCAACAGGTACCTGGAAGAAAACTTGTGAATGTAATGAAGATGCGGTCAATTGGACTTAGTTTTCCCAACATTGACGCATTCTATCCCAAATGACTTTATCTACCTGTAACTGTCAAAATAATTCTCATTCCCTATCTCATTCGATTTCTTTTCGTCTAAGTTACCCTAAATTGAGGACAAATGAGAGTAGTTGAAGGTAACTTACAGTGAACACATTTTTTTCTCTAGGAAGCATCCAAGGCGGGGGTTCATATGCTTTCGGAGCCGGCCCTATTATCAACTTGGAGTGGGCCCGACTCGTCGGGGGTGGTACTTTGCCGACTCGGTGGTGACGGCCCAACCTCTGAGATCCGGGTCTGCGGACTCAGGCGAGGGGAAGGAGTATCCATAGACCACTTCCTAGAGGAGAGGCATGCAACACTCCAAGCCATGCACCTGACTAAGAATCATCCGCGAAGCAACCTGTCACCCAGGAAGATTGAGAATGTATGGAGACAGGCGTATACGTGTTTAATCATAGGTCGACGTTGGTTGGAATGAATAACTTTGGCAGCATGTCTCATCAAGTCAAAACTAAGGCAGTCTGACTACCTTGTCGGCTGCATCAATGTTATTATCGATAGTCAGCTTCTCGTTGGCGATTGTACGGTTGTTTTTATGGAATTCGACCCGGATTGGTCGGATTGTTTTTGATATTGTGTTGTTGGTTGTACCATATGATGATTTTGATTCTTTCAGTATCATTTCAGATTGGGCAGGTTCCTGTCGACTATAGTCGACACCTTTTGGTGACATTATGTGTGTTTCTTATAACTTTCTTTTGATTGTGTGTCTAGGGGACTAGGATTAATTTTGTGGTTTCACGCTTGGTTGAGACCGCCCTAGTCGACCGACGTCCGCTTCGTACTTAGGAGATCAGCGCCCTAAGGAATGAACGATGTTCGGGTCCACTTGGCGTTAACCAACGTATCTATACTACGGCAACGAGCAAACGCCCACGACTGACCTGCCTCTGCAATTGCATCTAAAAGCTTTCACACGTGGGTCGGTAGCTCGGTAGGGATACGCCCCTAAGGGTGGTGACAGCCCCTTAGCGAAGGTAGCTTATGCCCCGCAGGAACCTATCCTGTCGTAGGGGACCGCAGATGTATTGCTGGCGCACCCGGCCGGAGCGGCGAGGGACGATGCGACCGCGCACCGTCTCGGCGACTCGCGGGATTAATTATGCATCGTCCTAAGTTGTCTCTGATTTTGTTTTGTTTATCTCCTGCGTGACATGGCCGGGAGGGCTCTCGCCTTTGCGAAAAAGGTGGGAGCCGATGCGCTCGACAACGTAAGTGGATTAAGACGCAACTGATTCTCTCCGATGCACTCGAGAGTTGGATTGAAGTCGTAGACCAATATGAGTACAATAAGGTTGCTGATGCACTTTCACGAAGGGCGGACTACCAAGGTGCGCTGATTACCGAGGTTGGCCTATCTGATAAGCTGACTCGATCCATGGTGGACACCTATAAGGAAAACCCCCTCGTGAGGGACATCATCCGCAAGCTCTAGGCCAACGACAAGTCCACATCCGACAAGTTTATGATGGTGGATGGGTTACTCTTGTTTGAAAAGGCAACGTTCAAAAGATTGTGTGTGTGGTGTAGCGAGTTTTGGCATAGTTTGTTTCTAGGCGAATGTCACGATGCAACGGAACATGTGGGGTACAAGAAGACTAGTGCTAACCTGGTACAACGTTTCTGGTAGACGTTTATGCTCGATGATGCGAACAATTACACACATCCATGTCAAGTTTGTCAACGGGACAAGTCGAGAACTAAAGCCCAACTTGGGTTGACCAAGCCCTTGCCAATTCCTGTTGGCTCGGGACAAAGTGTCTTGTGACGAACCGATTTCCGCACCACGCGATTCTCTGCGCGGTAGCGATGAGGGGTCCTAAGCTGGGAAGGATGGGCCAATCACGGGAGATTTGGAAATTGCATCGGTGTCCTCGCTTCTTCGTCCTTTTTCGTCACCTTTTCCTATGGTTGGGTTCGGTCCCGGGTGAGTCCCGGGGCGTTCGACTGGTTGATTGGATGGGCGCGCCGACCAGCGCGCGAACAATAAATATTGACGTCGCTTCTCTTGTTTCGACTTTGGGACTTTTGGGGCGCGGATATCGCGTGGGGATTTTTGCTTCGTTCTTTTTTTAATTTTCTTTTTGAATTCTTTTTCAGATCTTGCCGAGCCCTGATGGCTCTCAAAATTTCGGACTTCCTTTTCGAAATTTGTGCTTTTTGTTTTTCCGCATTAGATAGGAATTTAGGAATTTTGCAATTAGGATTTTTTTTTGTCACGCGACACTTTTGTTTACGCGCTTCTTTTTGCGACTGCAACAGAACTCTGATTAGTCGGCGCCTTTAATCGAGTGTGTAACTGTAATATTGGTCGGGCGCCATTGTAATTGTATCCTTTCTTCTTGTGCTTTGTCTTTCCCGCTCTCGCTTTTTCTTGCTGTGTCTAGCCAGCCCGCGGATTGTATGCTCGGATCGAGAAGGGCTACGACCCCACGCCGCGGTCTGACCATGCAGGAAGCAGGCGCTCCCTCTCTAATCTTCTTTCTAAGTCGTTGTAATTCCGTGTTCTTCGCGCATGCATGCACACTATAAATTCCGGCTGCGCGATTAGTTAGCTCTCTTAACCAGCTAGTGGAAGCTCGGGGTAGCGCGATCAGTGAGGGTCGGCTCACGAGCAAAGTAAAAGGTGAGTTAAAGCGGGAGTCGGGCGACCCGACGAGCTGGTGCCAAACGCGCGGGGTTGACGCTGGCCACGACGGACTGTGGGCGCGGGCGAACCTGACGGGTGAGGGAGGACTAAGCGGGATGACGACTTCGTGGGTTGGTGCGCGACGACGGCCTGTCCGCATTGGAGAGAGAGAGAGAGGAAAAGGGAGCTGAGGTTGATGGACGGGGATTTGCTGTTTCTTTTCTCTTTTCTCCCTCTTTGATTTTGTATATAAGTTTTGATCTCGGTCCAAGGCGATTCGCCCGTTTTTGTTTTCGGAATCTTGACTTGGTTTCGGCCCACACTCATTTGTGTGATTTCAATCTCGGATATGGTGTGTTATGCTGAATGAATGGATGAATGGATGTTATGACTGTTTGTTTTTCCCTTTGCCTGATCTTTGCTTGCGGTTTGGATACCCTCATGAGCATAGTAGGAAAATTCGCGAAAGCCTCACTGTTGCTATCTGCCTTTTTGATCTACTGCTATATGCGTAGTAGCACCTTGAATATTCAGGAATGATTGCGTGCGACTCAAGGGATGATTAGACGATCGGGGAGCTGTTTGCCCAGAAACCAGCGAACACCTCGCAGGGATGCGCGTAAGTGCGATCTGATCTGCGCACTTACACGTGTCCATGCGCGTCGATCCGCGCCTCTCTCTCTCTCTCTCTCTCTCTCTCTCTCTCTCTCTCTCTCTCTCTTAGAAGAAGAAAATAGGAGCTTACCGGTAGTGCACGTAGTGGGGCGCATGCTGCTGCTCGCGATGGCGCGCGGCCAACCTCTGTTCACGGTTTTCTTTGCGGATTTAGGCAGATCTCGGCGAGGGCAGACCAATCATGCATTCAGAGAAATTAAAAAAAACAAAAAAATTGGACCTCTTTTGGGCCCAACCAGAATTCAGGTTTGACAACCTGGGGTCTATCCAGCCCTGTTGGATCCAGGCCGGTTCAATACGGCACAGCCCTGGTATCAAGTTAATTCAAGCAGGCTTTGAAGGGCTCAAAGTTGAACATCTTAACTCCCGTTTTCTACTTTATTTTTATCTTGAAATTGACAAGGAATCTCGACATGAACCTCGGCCAGAAGTTATTGGCAACGCAATTTTACACAACTGTCCCAGCATATATATTGTCAAACATATACATTCTATTATTGTGTTCTTCATTATCTTTAATAATTATTTTTTCATCTCTGTTTAAAATATTTCGCATTGGGACTGTCCAGAATCCCCAACTGAGCACGCCTCCGTGCGTATCCATGTGAACCCCTTCCAGTCACGCCTCTAGACTGCTAGCACAGCTCTGAACTAAATTCTCAACCCTCTAAAAGAAGTTCTTGGAGGAACTCACAACAAACTGGGAACTCTGGGCATCAACATGAGCCGATGTTCATGTAAGAACGACAAACCTTCCCACACACAACCAACCCGGTGATAACACTACACTGCAAATGCATGGCACACAGCAAAGTAACAACCTCCCCAAAGCATTACACGATCAGCCCATTGAACAGCCAAAAAAACACCTTCAATGCTAACCTCAGTGCCTATTACAAAAATAGGGTGCACCACAGCAACCCTGTTCCACTTTCTCATGGCCCAAAGAATGAGTGTAGCATTAGATAGTTACTAAACAGCGTTATCAATGGAGTGTTATGCAGACTTACCTTCGACATGGAGAAAATGACTCTTCCCTGAACACCACTTTGACAAAATTAATTGCCTCATTCCATGCCACTGGCAAGAGACTCTGCCAATCATCACCTCCTCCCTCCCAAATTGATGGCAGTGACATGCAAGAGGGATTGCTAACCTGCACAGCAATGCAGATGTACTTCTCCTCAGAAGACATTATTTCACTCCAGCTACAGTAGACAGCTTTAAAGCTTGCATATATTAGAATGACAAAGAGAGGCTCAAGCTGATCACCTGCTACCTGCTAGCGACTACGAAATTCATGACAACAACTGCTGCAAGAGCAGTCAGGAACCTGCCCAGTCATGTTTGTGGGGAATCTGTCATACTACACACCAGGAAGGAATACTTCTGCTTAAGCCACAACTCACCAGTACAGCACCACGATTCGATGTCCTGTACAAGGAGCTGCAGGCCAGGGCAGTTGCAGCTCTCAGGGACCACTGGCTGCAATTAAAAAACAAGCAAATTTAACACACAAAAAAAAGAGACCCCCCCGCTGCTGCAGGATGCCCACTGCCATTCTTTCCTGTGGCCACCCACCTCAGGTTTGCCATATGCAATCTGACAACAAAAAAAATCTCGACGAAATAGGAGTTTCAGGTGCAGTGCATATTTAACACCCCTCTTCCCCACACCCTCAAAAGTTGCAGAGGCATGCTTACAGACCACCTTCAAGGGTTATTCCCTGACATTGTTCTCCAGCAGGATTCCATCCCTGAGCTGTTTAAAGACAGTTACATGTGTGTGCCAAGGAGCCATCAGCAGTCAGGCTCAACCAATCCCAGACCCCACTATATAATCCCCCAAAGGACCCCCATGGCATCTTGCAGGTCAGGACCAGTGACTCTTGGTCCAAGCAGAGAGCATGACAAAAATGATAACACTAGTTCTCGTATCTAGAGTCTTTCTGCTTTGCTCTGCTGCTTATGAGGTGAGATAAGGGTGTATGATGAATTCCACAATGCAGTGCTCATGTCCGCTAGACACAGCAGCCACCTGTCTCACCTGTCTGCACCACAGAGGGAGGAAGTGGGCGATCCGTATTGCACAAGAAAAGGCACGATGGACATGACAGCAGAGACTAACAAGGCATGGTGCACAACTGCTCAGTCTGGGAAGCATTGTGAATGCATCCAACGTCGATTACTGTCACATAGGTAATTTCTGCCTGCTTCTCTGCATGGCCTGAGATCTGTAGTGTCAGGACCTTAATACTTCGAATCACTGATGCAGAAACAATCATTGCTATCATTCGTGACCAGGCCTGGGATCAGCAGATGGCTGAAAAGGACAACACAGTAGGATTTGCAATCCATTGTGGAAGCTAAAAGAGTGGGAGGCCTCCTGCTAGCCCGGTCGGTCTGACAGCAGTCATTTGAACCTTCAGGGAAACACACTCACCCAGAATGGTTACACAAAAGGCAATGGAGTACATGTACACAAAGGCGTTCAGGGCAACTAACATCCATGGCCACATGAACTACGAGATGTAACTTTAGGCAGCTAACATCCACCCAACCATGTTGTTTGGCACAATCCCTCTATCCAGAACAAATAGAAAATTGTCTGCACACAATCCTTTTGTAAACTCAACTTCAAAGACACACAATTACTTGGAATCATGGGCATGCAAAGGGAGGACAAGTGCAATTCAGAAATACGATAAAATGATATTAATATCTCAATATGGAAATGAAGTAGGACTCGGCAGAGGATATGTAGCAGCTCCAACCAGTAAGCGCAAGCCCGTGCCAAAGCACGCTGCTGGGTATGCCCGCTGTCGCCACCTCGCCCCCTCGCACATCCTCGCCAACGTGCCAAGTAACCAAACTTAACTCGAATGCAGAGGTGAGCTCACCTTGGTCCGGAAAGTTATCATAGACGGACATATGAGAAGCTCTCTCTCACTAGGTGTGCACCCCTGCTGTGCGCCTCCATCACTTCTCGGGCCATATAACGGTATATTTGTCGCAACATTAGCAACCAATGAGTATAAGGTGGGGAACGGGGATTTGTCGCAAACTCAGCAATCAACGAGTTTAAGGTGGGGAACGGGGACTTTGTCGCAAACTTACCATGTTCATTGTGTCAAAAGATTGATCGGTCAATCGGTGAATGGACTGATTGATTGATTGATCAATTAATTGACTTGAAATGGTTTTCACATTTGCGGTAGGACATGCAGTTTCCAGGGCTCGATCCCCAGACCTCGCCCTTACCTGTGTACAGTACCAGTCGACCCGTGTGTGCTTGAACCCGCGACCTGAGTCTTGAGAGTCACCTGTTTGTTTGCTGTAGGTACAGTGGTCATCGGGTCTTGAACCGTAGGTCTGTAGATTAGAGGTCTTAGCAGTGGTAGGAGTCGTAGCTGCTACAGTGTTGAAAGGGCAAGACGTAGCTGCTACAATACTGAAGCGTCAAGTCCACAGTCTTCTGGAAGGTCCGGAATTGGCCCTTCGTGAGTCTGGGATGCAGTCCGTAGGCAAGTGGGCAGACTAACCCTGCCCAGTCAGCGGTACCCTGTCCCGGTCGCACTTTGTCAAGTCAGAAAGTACCATGTGGGACTGTGTGCACCCCGGGACCAGGGTCCAAGGGCAGACCTTTGACAATCCAAAGTATAAATAAAGAGACAGCGTCAAGTCATTCATTCATTCTGGCTGTGAGCCGTGCGGAAGCGCTGTCGGAGTGTCTTGTCTACGGAGGTCTGCAGGTGCCCGTGGAGAAGAGGGCTAAGAGGAGGAAGTCAGCCATAGCCGCCACGTCAGAGTACGTGTTATTGTGTGTAGGAGTGAGTGTTAGTGTGTGTGTATAGAGTACGTGTGTGCGGGACATCCAGGGAGATCCAGGGTGTGTTTACGAACGAGTTGCTGTCAGTGCAACGTTCGGGCATAGCCGAACAAGACAAGTTTGAATCTGAGCTCTGTTCGTGGATTCGTTAGGGCGGGAGTTGCCAGCTTGATCGTCATTTATTCGTATACATGCTGAATGTCGAAGTCGACACGTCTGATTGCATTGGTATCAGAGCTGGTTCCCGCTGTTCCGTCCGTTGGGGTCGTCGTCATCATTGTCGTTATCGCCGCTGCGCGCCACATCGGAGAGAGGAGACGGAGAGGCGCCACGTAGGCGCCACGTCCGCAGCGTCATCGAAGAGAGAAAGGGGGTAACCCATTGTCGAGCGCGCCCCGCTACGTGTTGCGCGCCAAAGTTTCCCACTGCGCACCAGCCTTTTGTATTGCGTGCAAGATTACTCGCGCTATTGTGCGCCGCTGCCGCTACCAAGATCGTCCACGCGCATGCTGTTCGCCCGTGTATCATTCCTTGCCGCGTGTTCACCCACTACCGACCGCACGTACGATCGCGCATTTACTCGCACAGTTATCCCCCGCTTTGCGCCCCGCTGTTGCTGCGCTGCCGCCGCTGCTAGATCGCGCGCTGCCCCACTCCTACCGCGTGCCAACGCCCGCCGCTATCGCGCACAGTTTGATTGTCGCACCCGTTCCCCGCTATCGCGTATGCTGCTGCTTGTCGCGTGCGCTGCGCTGCTGCCGATTTATCGCGCGCAGTTAGAAGGAGAACTCCGCGCTTGCGTGCGCGCCAGGGGTTGGGCCACCCGTGTCGAAGAACGCCGCTTGAGGAGAAGATTGCCACGGGGAGGAGGATCGCCAACGTCGAAGGGAGGAAGAGCGGCCACATCCGTTGAACCTGCAGGAGGAAGGAAACAACAACAACGAACAAGAGAGAGAGAGAGAGAGAGAGAGAGAGAGAGAGAGAGAGAGAGAGAGA